AGGTTATGCAGAATTTTATGTTGATTAATTATTCTCTTCGTAATTGCTTGTAACTCTACAAATCCAGGAAATGAAGGTTTTGCCTTGGCAATTTTTTAAAATGAATCGATTAACTTAAAATTTTGACAGTAGGTAGGGAATAGCCTAAAAATTAAAATCTATATCATGGCAAAGGGCGCTTTAACCCTGGGGGTGGTTGCCACCCCATCTCGGGGGTGGTAATTTTTTATTGTAATTTTAACACAGGAATAGGTAGAAAAATTAATTCTAAGCATCTATACATTTTTTTCGCAAAGTTAATACTCCCGTTATTCGCGGCGGAAAGTATGAGTTTTTCATAGGAAAGATCAATGTTTTTAATTGGTTATTCGCGAAAAACTCGAAAAGTATGCATTTTATAAAAAAAACTGTGGAGAACAAAATCGTAACTTTAAAAAAAGAAAGAAATTGGTTTTTTAATACTTGCTGTATGACCAATACAGGGACCAATACGAACAGAGTTGGGTTAGCTCTTATTCGTCAAACGCTAAATTAGAGATTTTCACAGTCAAATAACGGCAAAACTATGCATTTTTCGAGAAAAACTTGTAGAATATTCTTTGAAGTATTTAAAAAAATATTTCTTCTTTTTTTTTAAAACAAACTTTAGCCTAAAAATTAAGTGAGTTACGATGAAAATAAGATAGATCCGTACTTTTTTCAGCGAAAAAATCAGCGCAAGCTATCTCCTAATTACCGCCCTAATTAAAATTAGTCCTTCCGCTTTTCCAGTTTTCTCTAATTACGTATTATTAGTACATTCTAGAAGTGTGACCAGTTTAGAAGAAAGACTTAATTTTGAAATAATTCACGCTAAATGTAAAAATCGATTTATTTTGTGAAAAACGCTCAAAATAACTACAAAACAACTGGAAATACGTAAAAATTGCCATCCAATTGTAGCATTTTTAATTCCAAACATTTTCCTCACCGGAAATTTTCTGTATGACAAAAATTAAGTGAAATATAGACGTTTAAAGCATGTATTTATATGGGAGCACCACCTTGTTTTAGCTCTTTAATCAACCCATTTTAAAACTAAGAATCAGGAGGTGGAACACCATACTTTGTTCGAAATGCACACTGAACAACTGTCGTCAATAATAGAGTATTAACTTTTTCAGCATAAATACTTTTTTTTATTAAACCACAATAAGGGTTGATTATTTAGGGTTGAAATATTCTGAAATAATGTTCCAAACTCTCGAACAATCATTACTCAACTTATCTGAGCAAAGTTTACTCACATTAAGCTTTAATATACAGTGTGTAAAGCGATGGAGTATACAAGAGGGATTTTTTTTTAAATATTCATTTATTAAAAAAATTTATTCTTCATGATATTTTTTGCTTACTTTGAAAGTACCAATATCGTTTCGATTGTTTGTGGTTTGATAGCAATACGCTATCTTGATTATAATGTAGAATGATAACTTTCAATAAAAAAATGAATTTTTCGTACTTCCGAGACTAAAGTGACAACTTCACTCCATTATGACAAGTACTGAAGTGTCACTTTTTGTCCCGCCGGGATTAAATTTTACGAAAATCCCGGAAGGATGAAATTACTAACAAAGCAATTTCAGTAGGTTCTTCCACATTTTGTATGCGGCACTACTTCTTAAACGCATCGTACTGCTGTTCATATAGTTTTTGGATTTCGGTGGTATCAATTCTTTACCTACTTTGGTTGCTTTTTATCAATATCAAATACACGTTTGTCACCCACCACCAAAATTATGACACTAGCAATGACAGTTCCTATGGTAACTTGTTGAGCAGCGATTTTTTGAAAGAACGCGTTCTCGAACTCCATACATATTAAGTGTTTCAGTTTCGGAAGTACGAAAAATATCGTATATACCTTGCGACTGAAGTAGTGGTCTTATAATCCCTCAGGTAAATTATGGCCCTCCCTTCGGTCGGGCCATAAACTTTACCTTCGGGATTAAAAGTGCTACTTCAGTCCCGCGGTATATAATCTCTCTCCATGTCTCTGTATATAATATACTATTATTATTTTTCCCGATTTCTATAAATAAATTTTAGATTATCGAAACGTTATTGGTACTTTCAAAGCAAGAAAAAAATATCATGAGGAATAAATTTTTTTCATAAATCAATATTTAAAAAAAAATTCCCTCCTGTATACCCCATCGCTTTACACACTGTACATATATGTAGTTTTATTGGTTTTGGCAATAATGAGAGGTAGTTTTCACCCCTAAAAAATGAAAAGCGCCCATCGGCATAATATAGATTTTGAAGTGGAGGGTAAGTTGAACTTAATCCCAAATTTTCATGCAAATCGATGCATTTGTGAGGAAACGAAATTAAGGGTGAGGAAATAATCTGCCCAAACCAGTAAATAAGATTTCCCCCAGATATTTCCACTTAATTTCGCCCCTCCTAATCGTCTTCCCCACCAGATCTCCAAGATATATATACCTACCTGTGTCAGTCCAGTGTTTGTAACTTTTGCTTCTACCTTTACCAGTGCCTTTTGCTATTAACCAGCCTTATTTACCTGTCATTGATTACTGCACCTTTAACCGTCGTTCCATTTCCTGTAAAACCGTTGTTAACCTGCACCCCCTGTCGTTCCTTGTGTTGAGTGTGTTGCCGTTAACCCTAGGGGGTTAATCGTAATTAGCCGTCGAGGTGAGTGAGTGTTTATAGTGTCATTAAAACAACAATCTTTCAACCCTTTATTAAAACGTGCAAGCCGTTACCTCTATTACTCTGACCAGTTCCCAAGTCCCCGAGTAATTCCAGTTCCTAGGTGTACTCCCTAGCGAACGGGTTACTACTAGGGCTGGGCGATTACGGGTTTGAATAATCGATAATCGATTATGAAAAATAATCGATTGCACTGATTAATCGATTAATCAAATAATCGATTAATCAAATAATCGTTTAATCAAATAATCGATTAATCAAATAATCGATTAATCAAATCATCGATTAATCAAATAATCGATTAATCGCCTAATCGTTTAATCAAAAGTCGATTGTCACATACAAGGAGTGATAAATATCTGTTTGTATGCATTAATACGTTAATTATTTAATAATAAAAATAAAAAATAATTCCATTACTCTTTTCATCAAATCGTTCATTACTAGATCGATTAATCAATAATCAACAAAGTGTCCCTGGTTCGAATCCGGGTTCGGGAATGGATATTTGCAAATGCATAGTGGGTTGGTGGGTAGACAGCCTTGGCTGAAACCCTGCCCATTTGAAAATGAAGGTCAAAAATAAAAATAAATAAATAAAAATAAATGATTAGGCAGCTTACTCTCCGATGAGGTGTGCTTTAGTTTTGATGATACAATCTTAATTCATTTTAGCTGCTTAAAGTGACGTTTTAACATCCGCTATAAAATAAAATAATACTTGTGAGCTGTGAGTGCTCCTTTTTACGTAAACTGATGATCCAGCTAATAATAATCAATTAAAATTTACTTAATAATTGATTAATCAAATAACCGATTAATCAAATAATCGATTAATCAAACAATCGATTAATCAAATAATTGATTAATCAAATAATCGATTAATCAAATAATCGATTAATCAAATAATCGATCAATCAAATAATCGATTAATCGATTAATTTAATAGAATAATCAAACCCGATTATCGATTATCGTTTGATTATAATCGATTAATCGATTTTTTTGCCCAACGCTAGTTACTACAACAAGTATTCCTCAATATTACCAGCTACTCTCCGTACGTTCCTACCTGTCCGTGTCTTCAAAACAAAATCGGAGCGTGACTCCTGGTTTTAAACGAAGTACACCTCCGTAGTATCTTCCCGTCGCTCCGTCCTGCCTAAACCTGGGGCACAGTGCTCCCGCCTACGTTAACCATAAGGGGCTGAAAGCCGTCACGTGAAAGGTTAGTTGTTACAGTTCGAACACTCACCCCGCAGGTTCTGTTGGTTACCCCGTTCGGGTGGCGCAGCCCTCAATCCCGCATCAATTAATTTGTTACATTCTAGACAGCACTGCACGTGGAAATTAACCTACAGTCCGACACGAAAACGGCATTGACAGCAAACCAGCTGACACGCTGGGGCCAGATAACTACCGGCAGATGGCAGTACTCCCCAAGTAAATACGAGGACTGCTCCGGAAATCTTTCATATTATTTTATTTTGTATATATATATTTTTATTTCTATTTAGCCAATACACTTTTAATTTTCTTTGCTCGCCAATTATTTCCCGACGCTACCCGAGGCTGTGGGCAAAAGCCGGAACGTACCCAGGGTTGCTCAAAAAATTGCCAGGTTTCATACTATTTTAAGTTTCGTTTCCTGGACTAAAATAGCAAAGTTATGGTCGAAAAACGAAAAAATGCGATTTTCGGAAATGCGCTAGCGTTCATTTATTTTCAAAGATATCAAAAAGTACTCGTACTTTTTTATCAGTTGTGTGTTTCGAGTAAATCACATCAACTTTCTTATTTCTTATGGACGCCATATTGGATTTTTATGTCACTAGATAGAGAAAAAATTACATAATCGGCGATACCAAATACCAACTCAAATAAACCACCCCTCGTATGAATATGATATACCTATATCACCTATATCATATATGCAATCATTTAATTCTCGTTAAATCATTGCCTGTCTCAAGAGTCACATTTCGACAAGGATCTATTACACACGAACACGATGAATAAAGATTCACCGTGCACACGACTCAAAACGACAATGGTAAAGTAAAAATCAGGAGTCCGTGTCACTGATTCATTGATTTGTTAATCAATATCTGATATATCTAATCTTGAACATTGAAAGATGTAACAAGTGCGCGAAATCTATTGAAAACTTGTCTGAAATTGATTCACAAATCAATGACGCAGGGACTCCTGACTACAATTGTATAAATAATTTATAATTCATAGTAGATATTAAATTGACACACATAATAAATTACCACTACCTGGGTGCTGATGGAGCCGCTTCAACCGTTGATGATAGTAAAATACTGGATGCTGCTAGGATAACTGCGAACCACATAATTCCGTTGTTGGTGATTGACGGCAGTTTCATTTTTCTGTAATGAAAAATATTCGTTAGATTTCCAAACAGTAGGCCTTTTTATGCTATAATTAGTATAATGTGTATTTGAACACGTCTAGCTAAATAATGTGACGGTGAATTGCTATATTGTTTTTGGGTTTGCTTTGTTAATCATCGAACATGTATAAATTAACTATTTATTAGAGCGAAATTGTGAATAATGCAACAAGAATTGTTAGAATTGTTATCTTTTTTTGAGTTTCACTACATTTTTATCAATTTTAGTTTATTACAAATTGTATCACATCCTCGATAAACAGTCTACAAAACACTTTTCGAATTATTTGCATAACTGGATAACTCAACCGTATTCGTTTAATATTAGTAGGTAGTTATTTAATAATTTTTGCGTAACCGTATTTTTCCTATTGCATATTCGTAATAAAACTTTCCAACGATGTGTTGCAAAAAACCATACGGAACAAAAATTTTCTTTTCATGCTAGAATATGCACATACACATCTTATTTAAGTCCTAAAACTTTCAAACCGATATCTCCAACCGTGTTCACTCCAGCGCGTTGGTTCCATCTTTATTAGCCACTCGGTATATACTGAGCCTTGAAACTTGGGAAGTTTTTCTTTTGAATGTTTTCAGGTTTGGATGCGAGAACTGAGCTCACTTCTTGACGTCAACGTCCAACTTTATTCAAGGTAAGAGTTGCCTTATACGTTTCACTTGTACTTGGCCCTACACGTGCGGTTTTTACCCGGAATATCAATTTGTTTTAAGATTTAGTAATCGATCAATTGTACAGTGATTCGATTTTTGGAGATACTTTAATTTGATATTTTAAAGTCCTCATTAGCTTATGTTAAATTTTCGTTTACAGAGGTGCGGAAGCAGAAATCATGTGTAAAATATATGAACAATGAACGGTGCATTTATTTTGAGGGGGGTAAAAATGAGGTGCGATGCCAATTAGATTTACCGAAATACCGCTGATGTTCTCTCGCGCGTAAATGTTGAAAATTAAATCAAACCATCCAATAAAGGATATGGGTGAAATAAAATAATATGTAATCTTGTATAAACGCGATAAATTAACTCACGCATATTTAATAGAGTTTCAATTAAAAGAAATTACACGAAAACGCACGGCTATTGTGTAAATTAGATTCAAATTTAATTTCATATTATACTGGATTGAGTACAGTGGTGAGTGGGCTGTGTTTATTTTTACGACATGGTAAACCAAAAAAAAAACACCAGTAGCTAATGCGGTTTCAGTATTCAATTATTATTTTCAAGTAAATATTTTTTCTTTCATGTTTGAGTTTGATTCTGTTTGTCGGCGTTTTAAAATAATGGCACGTACTAATTATAGTATGTACATATGGTATTGATTCATCGTTACTTGATTCTTGATTTTTATGTAGCTTGTAATGTAACAAAGCATTTGGTTTAGAATTAGAATTTTTTGGATTTTTACCACAGATATAAGTAAATTAGAATTTCCAAGCTGTCTCAGGATTTCACATCCGTAATGGGCTATATTGAATATCATTTCTGAATAAGCCGAGGAATAAGCATGAGGTAAAGCCAGTGGAAACTGCTTAATCTGAAACTATTAAGGACATTTAGAACCATTTGTGAGTATATTTAAATCTGTGGTAGTACCTACAAAAGACACTAGCCAATAGAAAATTTAGACATCGCCATTTTGAAGAAATTTGCCATTTGTGGGTGTGAAAGATTTACTCACTCATCAAAAAAGGGATCATTGTGAGTTAGGGAATTTAGATTTTTCGACATGAAACATTTATAGTTATTTTCATAATAAGTCATGAAAGTGGTACGCGGAGGTTTATTGAAAGGTACGAGGACGCGTAGCGTCCGAGTATCTCTTTAATGCCTCCAAGTCAGGTGGACTCACTTTCATAACGTATTATGTATAAATTTTACCTGAAACCGCAACATGTAGATAACTTTTCCAAATTAAATTATTCATATGTGTGAAATTTTGATACCTAATCGCGCATGCTAAAATCACTTTATTTAATTGTTTCCATAGAGATTTCAAATAAATTAAAACAATCAGTGTCATTTTTAATGCAGTTTGCAGTTTATGCTTTGTACTTTTCAACTATACAGCCTTTATAACTATGTACAAAAGCAGGGATCAGTGAAAAAGAGTACCTACTCGAGACGTTGTCACAATGTAGCCGAAGTTGCGGCCGCCGTAGTGAAATATTCGCTCCCCCCAAAGTCAAGAAAGAGGTACGAAAAGGCGTACAAACTTTTTAATGACTGGCGCAAAACTAAAGGAATAATTACTTCCACACATATTCCATTAATTGTTAGTAATTAAAAAACCATTATCCTTTGTGTAGCTATATTAATATTTAAAAATATCCACATAGTCTGCATTATAATTATCCAATCGTTGATTGAATAACTTATTCAATGAACGATCTAATTGTTATTTTGCATGTACTAGGACTGGAATGGGAGTCGGGCAAACATATTACAGTACTAGTCAGGTAAAGATCAACTTTCTAATGTCAAAATAGCCCTGAAATTTATCCTTCATGGTACTGTAATGAAAGGTTTCAACGAAAGAAATTTAATTCTACCAACCACACTCCTCCTCCTCGACCCCTTGTCGTGATCGGATATATTCCCTTATATCTGCAGAATGGATTGTCGGAAGAGGGTACTGACAAAGGGCGACTGGGACGTCTGGATTCATTGGTGTCTAAATGTTAAGAGCGAATATCTCGAGAACGATTTGTCGGAAGAGGGTACTCGTAAAAGGCAAGTGGAACGTCAGCACGAGACATATCTTTTGGTGATGTCTAAGCTTTCAGTGCAAATATCTGCAGAATGGAGTGTCGAAGGTTTTTGAATGTATGCCAGACGGCCTCTAAATGTTTATGTGTAAAGAGCATATTCCCCATTAATCATCTGCCAAGAAAGTAAACATCGATAACATGCTACTACCTTATAATCCCCCATTTACTAAGCTATTTCTGTTAAAAAAAAATGCGCTTTATCTGCACAAGAATTGTGCACAAGTATAGGTACGATCGGTAGGTCCTTAATCCAACCTTAAGGTTGCGGACACCCTGAATAGACATTTAAATACTAAGAAAGGGCCCATTGGCTTCCTGCCACATGTGTGACGATCTCGTACTGGCTTCTGGAGCTTCTAGTGACACCATAATATATTACGGTGCAATCTTTCCTGGCGAGAGTTATAAGTTTCTTCTGTTTCCACTCTTTTGTGGGTACGGTGGGTTGCATCACTGTCAGGAATATCTGTACATTGATTTGTATATTTACAAAGAGTAGTTATATACTATTTGATGTTTATGAATCGAAAATAGGAGCTTTGTATGTTCAGAGTTAAATGTATTAGTAGGAGAGCTGGTAGACATTTTTGGGTAGGTATTTGAGGCACGAAAAAAACTTGCCCAATACGTCTCCAATAATACCCAAATACAGAATTGAAGACCTGGCTGAGCAATAGTGGGGCTAAATCAACCATTATATTTTTCAAAATACGAATTTTTTTTCAAAAAATGTTCTTGAGACATTTCGAAATTTTTAAATTTGATATTTAAAGAACGAAAAAACCAATAAGCCAGATCATTTAGTGGGGCCTTACACTTTGTCAGAATGTCAGGTGCCTTCAAAGTATGAAAGACCAGCTCTCGGACTATTTGAAATTGTAACAATGGGCGACTAAAAATGGATTGACGCCGAATCGCCTTTGGAAGTTCAAGTTGAATATTATGATTTTCCTCGTAAAAAAAAATTCCGAAGGTGACTCGACAGCAACTCTTTTTTGATCGCATAGCATATGTCAGTTACAGCGTCCGCAGTCGTTATTAATTATTACTAGCCCATAAACGTTCTAGAAAAGAGAGATTAGCAGCGCATGCCTAACTAGTTGCTGTAGTATTACGGTAGGTACCTTGCCGCTTTAAAAGTAAAATTAAAAACACATGTTTGATTATCACGATGATGTCAATCGGTCTGTCGGTCTGTACTCTCATTTTCGGCTAAACCGATTGGAATGAAATTTGGTATGCATATTCTCAGACATAAAAGAGCAGAATTGCGCAGGTGTGCGGGTAGGGTAGTATGTATCTGTGCTAGCCACAGAAAATAACTCGATTTCCGGTTTCGAAAATGCGACCACAACATCATTTGGCTTTTTCTATAGTAAAAGCAATTCTCACAGTAGAAGTAAAAATCCCAATTCTATTTAAAATGATAGCTAAAACAAACCACAGAAATAACTGAAATGCAACGAAATGAAACGGGTTTCAAAATATAATAATTATTAATGCAATTGGCTATTACATCGGCTACACGCAATCCCTCGGTTTGCAAATCGCGGACTTGTATAAAGGCAAGGTAGATATTATTGTGTGCGAAAGTTAGGTACATCTTCGCGGCTAACATACACGTACACTACCCTCATAATTATGTAGGTATATTGTATGATGTTTCCTACAATTTACAATAGAATTACATGAAACCATTTCATATGGATAAACATGCGGAATATAATTGTGTTCTTGTAAACCCCAAATTAGTTCCGGATTAATATGTAACACAATTACATCTGCTCGAATTGTAATTCTAAAATCTCGTTGTATTTGCAACCGCTAATTGCGTATTGTACTATTCATTTCAGAGACAGATCGAAAAAGTCCAATCTGTGATTTGAACTTTGAAGTAGGTACAGACCGTTCTACAAAGACCGAAAAGACATACATAAAGATATTTATCTACTTCTCCCGTGATTCTTTCTGCCTAAAGGAAATCAGATTTTATTAATTTCAAATCACTTTCAAAGTTTGGACTCTAATGAAAGGTAGGTAAAGTTCGAGCCTCTAATTTTTATCACTCTCACACTCAGTTAAAATGAATGTGTTTACTTTTTTGCACTTTTGTTCTTTTCTCCTTTGGACTATGCAAGGGTGTGATTTTCCCTTTCGCTATAACCATCTTGTTTAGGTGTAGGTATA